ACTAGATTTTGATTATAATGGTAATTCACCATTACATATAGCATGTAAATATGGTCACAAAACACTTTCTGAAATGTTTTTGAATGCTATGATTGAAGCTGAACCTGATTCACTAGAATATCTTTTAAAACAAAACAGCAAATCAAACACTATGGGTGGTACAGCATTACATGAAGCTACAATGAACGGTCACACCGACATTTTGAAATCGATAATTCAGACAATAAAACTAAGCCCTGTTAAAGAAATTAAAAAATTTCTTGATTATAAATGTAAAAATAATGATGGACAAACACTTTTACACATGGCTTGTGCGAAAGGTAAGTGGTAAATTTTAAGTTGTTCTTTTTCCCCTTTGAATTCGCTGCATTTAGATAGAATTTAAAAAGAAATACTTCCACACAAAACCTGAAAAGATTTAGGGATTCTCAACTATGCAGCATCTTTTAAGGTTTTGAACTCTCTATTAACAAGCGTTTAATAACTCCTTTAGAACCTTTTAGATTTGCAATAGTCACAAATTCCTAACCTTTTCAAAAGAGTTCAACACATTATTTACTAGTATTAAGGACTGGAGGCTTTTCGTACAAAATATTTCAGACGATTCAGCTCGAATATAATGAATAATATATCATTTGAATCAGCTACTGAAGCGCTACAAAATCTTGTCTTTTGTTTTTTAATCCATATCAAAATTTGATGGTTTTTTTTAGACTAGAGTACCTCAGGATTTTTACATATTCGGAATCAGCGCGACGAGTTACGTTGTATTTGTTATTAAATTTGTGAGGGATTGTGAAACTGAGAGAGAAAGATCCAAAAATACAATCTAAAACATATATCACATACAGTAGAAACTAAATCAAATTTGATTCAACCAGTTTTTTTCTCACGAGGGAACCTCTCGAGGTGATTAAAAGCTTTTCGACTCAGACTATTTTCATCATGTAGGAAATAGTCAGTAGTGAAAAACCCCAAATTGGTTTGAGTCCATGTACCTTTTTGACGGAGATATGAGTTAATTAATGAAAGTGCCATTAATAATAATTAATTAATAGCTCACGACCATGATCAGCCAGGAGTCGGAAATTTTCACCACAGCCGAGATATGTATATATGTATATATATAGCCGAGATATATATACAGCCGAGATGTTGTCTACTCACTACGACACTTTTAGGCTTATAAACCAAAGCTTTTGTAAGATATGAATTTTTTATGATTTAGACAGCTTTTAGTGAAAATTCACCACTGAAAACCTAAAAACTTGTTATCACCGTTTGAATACATCTATCGACTCAGCAAAGACTTATTTCATTTAGATATAAGTCCCTAAGAGCCGCTGAGCTTAGAAGTACTATCTTCAACTGTGCTGAAAATTTCCGACTCCTAGCTGATCATGGTCGTGAGCTATTAATTAATTATTATTAATGGCACTTTCATTAATTAACTCATATCTCTGTCAAAAAGGCGCATCGGCCCAAACCAACTTAGGGTTTTTCACTGTTGACTATTCCCTACATGATGAAAATAGTCTGAGTCGAAAAGCTTTTAATCACCTCGAGAGGTTTTCTCCTGAGAATAGTTCTAAGGTCTAGTAAATACCTAGAAATATTTCTCTGTTCATTCTGCAAGAATAATGCTTGCAGTTAACATTTTAAGTCAGAATTCATATTAAGTAAACTTGAAAGTTATCCATTTGGTTTAATCGTTACCCGTTACAGTCACAGTTACCAGAGTAACGGCGGTAACGGTCTACCTCATACTAGGGATACCCAAAGTTAATCTAAGAATTTGACAATATGATCATCTTTATCCTTGTTTTCTCTTCCTTGAGAGGAAGAAAAGCATACATTGATGTCTTGCTTACGAGGATACGTACATTAACAATTCCATTGTTCTACTCTAGGACAAAAATATCCTACAGAAAAAAGTCGGAGCAGAAATTCTCTTTCAAGTTCAATTAGTCTGGAGAAAAATGCATAATTTTGTGTACGCGTACTTTTTCTTGACTCTTGTTTATAGGTCATATGGAAATAGTTAAATATTTAATAGAAGACGAATGTGCGGATGTTAATTCATTTGATAATAAACGTGTTACACCCATTTATTTGGCATGTGAAAACGGATGTTTACCAGTTGTTAAAAATTTATTAGATTACACAAATGCTGATGCAACTATTCGTAATGCAAGAAGTTATAATTGCTTAGATATATCAATAGAAAGTCATTAGCAAATGGCAAAGAGTACAAAGTGTACAATGTACTCACTTTAGTACTGTTACAGTATCAATTAAGTGGACAATATAAGTATGCTACGTGGAGAAAGAGAAGGAAGTGACAATAACAAAATCAAAGAAAGGCAAACAACAACTGATAATCTGGCAGTTTGTTCTTATCATGTAAACAAATGAGTGATTCGCTATTTTTAACGGAAATCAAAATATCGTGTTCATTTTGCCCTCGTTTTGCTTTAGATGTCAGAAAACCAATAATATCCAAATCCAGATTATAACTTTTCATAAGATTCATTATCTCCTCGGCTTGTCCAAGCGTGACGCCGTGACATTTTTGACACACTAAATCGCTTTTATCTGAAAAACTATTAAGGCTAGCGAGTTCGTTCAAGCGCCATTCGACGCAGCTCAACACCCTCTATCTCCCGTAAAAAAGGAAAAAATTCGGGTTGAGTTTAGCAGTTTTATAGCAAATTTTCAGAGCGTGACGCTGTGACAAAAAAAGGCTCTTTTGCTTTGGTAACTGGGGAATTGTTGATAATTTTCAACGTAAATCACCGGTGAGAATTTTTATTTGCAAGCGATTATGTCGAGCAGAGAACGGTCTACACGTTAGTAAAAAAATTTCATTCCAGGATCCTCGTAGACCGCAGAAACCTTATTTATTACTGTGACGCTGTGACACTCTTTTTTGGGAGAGCTGCCCTGGTACTCACGTCCAAAAGGACTTTGTTTTTATCTTTACCAGAGCTCTTGCTAGGTACTCACGATTTATGGGAGAACTGCACTCTAAATTTCAAATCCAGACTGGAAAATAGCCCGAACCTGGAAGTCTCTGAAAAGCCCGGGGTTGAGCGGGAAAATTCACCGTCAGAATAAAATGAGTCATTTTGTAGAGAATATAATTGTCTATCGACTCGTATACTTTCTATATTTTTTAGACAAAATTTCTAGGTCAAAAAATTGAAATTAAACTTTTTAAAAAATTTAAACTCAATGTTTTTCGGCGAAAACCAAAATTTTGTTTTTAAAGACACACGATATTCGTAATCAGCATGAAAAACTGCGTGTGGCACTGTACTTGAACCACTTCCACAATAAAAACATTCTTTTAAAAGCTTAATCAGCGAAGGGCACTATGATGTTTTGACCACAAAACGGGATATATGTAGGTTTGTAGAGGAAGACTTCCTCTATCCAATGGTGTATATATTCTCAAATTCTGTTGCGTACCATGCGAGAAAATTAAATTAGAAAATCATAGATTTGACATGTTTTAAGGGGGCTCCTCATATACCAAAATTACAATCGTGTAGAATCAAGCTAAAACCTAACCCAATCATGTGTATACCGTTCAACACCCCACACTGTCTACTTTCATAATCCATGTCACTCTTCTTCATATTCAAGTTATTATATGACTTATAATAATTTGGGATAAAAAATTCTATGTATTTTTCGTGATGCCACTTGGAACAGTATTTATAGTTTCATGCTTGGCAACCTGAAATATATTTCAAATATACAAAATTGTAGAGATTTCGTTGCTCTACAAAATGAGATGTGGCATGGCCCTGTGCGACTTTATTTATCAAACTTATTAATACTTTACTAAGACATGCCAACATAAAACTGCGCATGTCACATATAGACATAACGCTTTTTGAGCACAAAGAAATGTAGGTAGTTGAGAAGCTCGTCTACAGGATGCTGTTCGGATAAGACTGAAGAAGTAGACGAGCTTTCGATTTATTCTAAATCATCATCAGGTACAAATATCATAGCAGAAATACACGAGTATATATATAAATAAACACAGTAAAGATTCCAGCGAACATTCTAGAACTGTATGAAATTTTCGAAGATGTTGCAGAAGCACCATAGCTTCTTTTATCTGTTGTCTTGAAGACCACACAAAAGACAACACATCAAGAGAGAAAGATCAGGACGTCATTGTACAACGGCAGAAAGAAAGGAAAATATCTGAAAAGGATCTATATGACAGGAAGAAAGAGAGAAAAGATATACATGAGATGGCAGGCGAGACGACCTATGACCTTACAGATCATAACCATCTTCGAAAATTCCATGAAATTCTACCTTTTTCCGTTAAAATTAAAGAAAAATAAAATATACAGTTTAATAGAGCACCTGATTTACTATATTCCTATAACAATTTTAATTTCTGATCCCTCAACTTAACACATGTCACCTTTGCAAGTGCATTTGCTATTGATTGGCATTTTTCATCACGCTCTATGTCATCAGGTCACGTACCAATAGTAAACAAAGGAACTTGTGCTTAAATATATTATTATTTAACTATCACGTCATATCATCTCAACTGAAATATTAAATTATGACAAATTATTATATGTGCACACTTCCTAGCGAAACTTGTATCGGCTGCAATACAAGTTTATTTAGAGGAGGTGCTGAACAACAGCGATCAAGAAAAAGAAACAAAAAATCTCTTACAATAACAAGAGAACTATCACGTCGTATTTTTGATGATTATCATATAATTTTACAGCATCATCATAATTTATGTTCGAATTGCATTTCATCTGACATTTCTAAATGGATTACCAACATAAAAGATTCGTCTGTTGGAATAAACAGGTCCATATCCAGTTTATTATCAAAACAGTTAAAACCCAAAGAAAAAAAAGACATCGTTACATATTAAGTTTGAGGATGTGAAGGAAGACCAGTTCAAACTCTTTAGCCGACTTTCCAAGCCTCAAATATCAGAAACAGCATCAACAATTGAATCATCGAGCCAAAAAGTCTTCATATTTTTTACAACTATGTTTCGTGGAATCAGCCAAGTATTTGCAAGTGCTTTGTTTGGCATACATCAATCAAGAATATCACGCATACTTCATGAAACAATTGATAAAATGTCCGAAGTATTTGTACCAAAATATATTGGGTCACACGTTTTTACAAATAATATTATTCACAATCATTCTCCAGAATGGCTGAAATTATTATTACCAAATGCTGTTGCTACGGTAGATTCTACGTATATTTATCTACAAAAGTCGTGCAATTTCGATAATCAAAAGAAAAGCTATTGTCAACATAAAGCAAACAATTTAGTAAAAATGATGGCTATGATGTTATTAGATGGAAAATGGTTTGATACTTATGGTCCATATTACTCAGATGGACACAATAACGATGAATTAATATGGAATACACTGAGTGACGATAGTTTAGAAGAATATGAAAGCAAAGATTTGCCTGTCCAAAGGCAACAGGTTCATGCAACATTCTCAAGAAATGATATGTTTATTGGCGACAGAGGTTTTGCTAGATGTAAAGGAAAATGGAATTTATATACACCTGATTCTATATGTAAAGGCGAAACACAGCTGACAACCGGCCTGCTACAGGACCAGAAGTCCAATAACTGGGATGATTTTCTTCCAGCGGTGATTTTTGCTTATAACACGGGTCAACATTTCTCAACAAAGTTTAGCCCCTTCCAGTTGCAATATGGACAGGTCCCTAAATTACCACCAGATCAAA